ACTGTACCCAGACCCAACCCCCTTCTGTGTCCCTAAGGCTTGCTCTATTTCCTACTTCATTAAGTCCAGTATCATTAGAACAAAGCAGAGTTTTCCCTTGAAACCAAAGCACATAGTCCAATCCACAAAATGAAACTATTTTATTTTTTCTCATTGTGAGTGCTAATATGGGAAACCATCGCTCAGTGGCAATAATATCCAACTGGGTACAGAAACAACTAGAGTTCCAGTTTACCTCGGTCATTACATGTTATAATTCCTATGAAAAAAAAGGAAGATGCATCTTTACATCAAAGCCTAATTTCTTGGCTTATTTTTTAAAGCATGAGTCAAAGTGTAAGAGGAGGAAAGAGCATCCCACATAGAATGAAAAACAATTGACAATTTGGTTCCACAACACTAGTTTTAACCTCCAGGGTACTGGTATTTAATCCTGGCTACAAGCTAGAATCAACAGGGGACTTAAAGTGAAAACAAAACAAACTGATGTCCAAAGTTCCCAATTAAATTCAAATTCCTAGGGGAAGGTCCTAGGCATCATAAATGTATAAAATGCCCTCAAGTGATTCAAAGGGTCAGATAGAAGTGAGATTTCTGCATCTTATGGAATGTCAAAGAGATAAGTGTACTCTCATATTCATTGCAATGTTACTCTAGTGGGCAAAACATGAAAGCCAAATAGGTGTCCATTAGTAGATGAATGAATAAGGGAAATGTGGTATACACAGTGGACTACTAAGAAGTCTTTAAACAGAATGACCCTCAGTCATTTCCAATAACATGGATGGAACTAGCAGACATGCTGCCAAGTGAAATAATCCAGGCACAGGAAGACAAACACCACAGGATCTCACTTACATGTGGAATCTTAAAAAATTGCTGCCATAGAATCAGAAGAGAAAGGTGTTTACCATAGTGGGTAGATGATAGTGAAAAGGGAGATGTCCTTTAAAGCATACAAGTTGTAGTTAGACTGGAGAAATGAGTTTTAGTGATCTGCACGGGACCACAGTTAATAACAACATATTGTGCATTTAAGATTTTCCAAAAAAAATAGATTTTTAATGTTTGCACCACAAAAAAATAACTTGATGTATATGTTTGTTACCTTGATTGAATCTTTCTACAATGTCTATATTGATTACATTGTACTCCATAAATATGCAGTTATTATTAGATTTGAGATCTGCTGAGCTTACACAATACTCTTACCTTAATAAGTGAATAGTTATAAATACATATAGTCCGACCACACCACCTCAAATTCACAAGAGAAAAAAAAAGGCTGAATAGAAAAATCTGGAGTATGAAGACTCACAATGCTTCTTTCCAGGTTTAGCCTCACAAAGAAGAAAATATGGCCTTCATCTTTTTTTAAAAAAAATTGTCCAGGCAGCACAGAAGCAAAATGAAAGAAAGTATGGGTAAAAAGGAAGAGGTGACAGAGTCATATCAAGATAGGAAGGAGGAGAATGGCTGAAACCGGGGGTGTTGGAGTAATAAGGCAGTCTCCACTGATGAGCTGTAGGTAATATCAAAGGCACATTTGCAGAATATTTCCTTTTCAGTAATTGTACAAAGACTCCCTTGCCATTACAAAGCACTTTTCTCCTTGGCAGATTGAAGAATGCTTTACCAACTAAATGCATCTCAGTAATATCCAGAGCTCAGGTCCAACATAATCACAAGTTGCCTTGTTATTACGGAGGTAGCAGCCCCATTTAATAACATATTAAATGCATTATTCATTTATGTAACTCAGACCCAGGGACAGCTGCTGGGATGAAAATAGAACCATTCTGTAATGCAAAAAGCAGGTGTGTGCTTACTTGAGTAAATTAACTCTGTATTTCTGCACAATTTTCTTCTAAATTTCAGGGACAGGTCTGGTAGGGCGGCTAATGTGATGCCATTTTCATCCAAGAAATAAAATGGTTTCAGAATGGTTTTTAATGAGCATTTAAAAAAAAAATCACCAACAGCCTTCTCTGTGGCAGAATCCCAGGAGGATAGATTCGTGCTTTGGGTTGAAGCAGAGCTCCTGTTGCTACAGGATTTAGGAGAACCTGAGGTGATGATTGGTCAGAATGGGTGACAAACAAAAGAAATACTCTGCACCTCATGATGCCAGTAGCAGTGGTGGGCCAGTGCTTCTGGTGCTGCTCGCCAAGATGGAGCCACAGGTGTGTTTGATGCTATGCAATTAAAAAACATAACCTGCCTTTAGTTTGCACACTGCCACTCCTCTGAAACCAGCAGGCAGTTTCTAATGCACAGTTAAACTCCCTGAGATGCCATGATTATTCCGGAGGGTTTTGCTGGTCATTTTCTTGCTACTTACCATTGCTGTTACCAAAATGTTTTCATTCTCCAACGTATGCACCATGGGAGTTTTTTTTTTCCCCTCTTTCCTCTCCCACCTGCCCTATTTTCTCTCTTAATCAGTTTATACTCATAAAAACATAAAAAGGAATTTCTTTTCTAGGCCGATGTTCAAATTGCTCAGGCATGACAGTGACCCAGCAGAATGGGCAGTGATCTAAGTGCTGGAGCTGGAATTTGGAGGCTGCCTATTCAGCTAGGTGTTAACTCCTTAGTTGATGGATTATGAGGAGAAGCAAGGACTCCTAGGATAGAGATCAGCACGGCTCATTTGGTGGGTGAGGGGTGAGTGTTTGGGGCAGCAGTAATAACTGATGCTATGCTGGTATGTCAACATGTAAACTGATACAGTCATGCCAGTGAGCTAGATTCTCAGCTCTGCTTATTTGAGCACAAGGAGACCCTCAAGGAGGTTTAAAGTTTATACATTTCTCAGGAATCTTGTGAAATCATGCAATTCAAATAATTTCTATTACATGAATCATGAAGACCTCTTTAGGAGTGTAGATGTGGGTCAATCTTACTACTGTAAAGAGGCAGTGCAGGGTAATAGTAAAGAAAGGATGTGTTATAGGGATAAATAATCCAAATTGGCCATGCAAGAGGACACAGAAGCAGAAGGAGCAGAAGAAAAGAAGTGGTTTCAAGAAGATTAGAAAGAGATTTGGATGGAGCAGAGTGAGCTGGCTGGGGAGAAACTTCAGAAAAAGTAAAATAAAATCATCTTATAGAGGGCTTATGTGAAGAATTACAGGATCTGCAGTTTATCTGGAGGGCATTTGGAAACCAAGAAGCTTGTGAAAAGGGAAGAAAAATAACAATACTAACTGAAAATAGTTGAAAACATTTCACAAGTACTTGCTAGGTGATAGGGCAGTTTTCAGCAATCTGGGTACATAAATTCATGGAATTCTTGCACCTACCACATGACATGAGTTAAGTATTAATGGTTGACCTTGTGCTGATTCATAATGTCCAAAGTGCTTTTGCAAGTTTCTCATTGATTATTTAACCCTGCTTTTAGCTTGTCAATTCTGAGATTCAGGAACAGAGGCTAGATGTAGATGAATTGGAAAACTGCCTGCAGCTCAGATAGATCCAATCTATTGCCAGTGTTGTCAAGTTTTCCTGGAACCTAGTTTTACCCATTCTTTTATGTACTGTGTGAACTTTTCATGGTATAGTCACCAAGCTGAGTAGTAGTGACAAAGACTATATAGCCTACAAAGCAAAAGGTTTATTAGCTGGCCTCTTAAAAGTTTACCAACCTTGGTCTAGTATATTTTGATTTCTTCCAATTTATGTTCTACTACTAACTCTGGAAAAGTGAATTTGAGAGATCAAATATAACTACAGGGGTTGCTGAGCCCCTCAGGGGAAAAAAAAAGATGAATTGGTAATACTGAACCTCAAAGTTCTTAAAGGTTGGTCATCCTGAATATACAGATTCTTATTTACCATGAAGCTGATAAATTTCTAATAAATTGAAAGGGACATATTTGTAAGATAATTCATGTATTCTTTTATTAGAGCTAAAATGAGAATAAGCAAAAGTTTGAAGGATTTACTCAGAATGCAAAAACTGAAGGCTCCTTGGTGTAAGGTTTCAATAGTTCAATCAGTATACCTTCTCAAGAAATGATTAGAAATTACCAAATTTAGCCAGCTTTTTCTGTACTATGCCATTATAGTAGCAGCCTTTCTCTGAATTGTAAGTTCCCTTGCCATCTATGCAGTAGTCCCCCTTTATCCACAGTTTCAGGTACCCATGGTCAACTGCAGCCAAAAAATATTAAATGAAAAATTCCAGAAATACATGTTTTATTAGTTTTCAACTGTGTCTCGTTCTGAGCAGTGAGGTGAATCCATGCCTAACTCTACATCACAATGCCTTTGTCGTTCAGTTAACAGCATCTCATCATGTAGCCATTGTTCACCTCCCATCATCATAGGAAGATACTGGGAGTTCAGTAAGATATTGGGAAAGAGAGAGGGAGACAGAGAGAGACCACATCCACACCAATGTTATTATGGTCTATTATTGAAATTGTTCTCTTTTATTGTTATTGTTGTTAATCTCTTGTTGTATCTAATTTGTAAATCACACTTTCTAATAGACATATGTGTATAGGGAAAAGCTTGTATTTATCAGGTTTGTTATTGTTCATAGTTCAGGCATCAATGGGGATCTTAGAACATATACCCAGGACTGTATTATTCATTCTGATCCTTAATTATATGTTCTTTAAATGATCTCCTTAATTATCGATTTATGTCTGTTCATCCTGATTTTTGACTTAGTGTAGGGACAGTATCTTCCACTGTGTGCATTTCCTACAGTTCCGAAATGAAGAAGTGATTCATCAGTTGATTCGATGAATCAAAGAAGTCAATTAAGATGCAAATAATAGGTAACAATTTGTTGCTCCAATTTTTTCTCTCTATTTATCTCTATTGGAAGCTAGATATGAATCAGCCCTAATGCTCAGAGTAACAAGGAAGGTAGGTGGATGATGTCCCTGATGGTCCTCAGGGCCAAGCAGCTCAGTGTAGTAAATTCGTGGGAGTGATCTTCTTTGTAAAGAGCTAGTTGACAATTTGAGCTTTTCTCCTTTTAGGTATAGAAAGGTGGTTTCCAATAACTGCACTGATGGCGTGCGAGAACAGTACACAGCCAAACCACAGAAGTGTCCGGGGAAGGCCCCTCGTGGCCTCCGGATCGTCACTGCAGATGGAAAGCTGACTGCAGAACAGGGGCACAATGTCACTCTCATGGTGCAGCTGGAAGAGGTAGGCTGATTCCTGTCTCCCTCTCACCTTCTAGAGCTGGTGATTTTGTTCTAACAAAGCATAGTTCCCTTTGCGTATCTTTTTTAACCTTCTCATTTTTGATGCAGTGGTTT